CCACAAGACAGGGAAAGTCTCACCAAAAGAGAATGCCCACATCTGTAAATGGGCAGGAGGGGGAAGCAGGAGGATGAGGAAGTGGCTCCTGGAAACAGGTCCATCTTCCTCAGACCTATGTGGCTTAAGCAGAGTGACCATCTCTCCTGGGGCTATATCTCAGGGGAATCTGTTGTGGCTAGGAAGGGTGTGAGGACCTATGCCAACTTAATGTTGGGAAGTGGAGATCCCCTCTAAACGTTCAGAAGGTAGGGAATGGTTTGGGAATCCAGGATTCCCTGCTAGGGCAGGGCACGTGGTGGAACACACCAGCTCTCAGAGGTGAGTGGCTTTACTTACTGTGGTTGGAGGCTGAGGGTTTGTGCTCTGTGAGATTGCACTGGCCACTTGACCTATATAAATATCAGACACTGGAACTGCTATTCCTGAGCATAGGATCTTTGCTCCTTGAGTGAGGAAGGACACTGCCAGCTGATAATTCTTTGGGGCTCTTCAATGTTCATTTATATCATGGTAGATACTGCCTTTCCTCTCAGGGCCTCCTTCCTCAGTCTACTCATGATTCTTTCTTGTGTTTGCTCCTTTCCTGTTTGCTGGATGTGAACATTTAGTTCCATTATTCATCAAGTGCTTCTGAGCCTACTTCTAACCTGACATCTTTCTGCCCTTGTAGGTAGATGCTGTCTTTTTCTCACTTTATTTTGCCCAAGAGGCCTTTGGTTATTTCTGCCTTTCCTTGGGTTCTCTTCCTGTCATGTCTCTCCCTCCTGCTGCTACAGCCAACAGAGCACATGACTCCGTTTCTCCTGCCCCTCCTTTCATTTCCTCATTTGTTTTCCTTCTTGGACTTTGGCCTCCCTGACTTGGGGACAGAGGGACATAATTTGATCTGCCACCTCTAAACCAGATGGGGATGGGAATAACCATGGCCAAGAGACAGTGGGGTATAGGAAACATGAAGACCAGGGAGGAAGAGACCCACAGGAATTAGTGCTGAGAAGCAGAGGTTTAGGAGGGAGGAACAGATCCAGGCCCAAAGACTAAATTAAAGTCTCCTTCCCTCTCCCAAGCATGGCAGTTAGCCTTGGAGAAAGTGAAACACTAAGAATGGCCATCATACTCTCTAATGTTTTAAATGTGCAGAAAGTACACCGGAGCCTTCAGAGCTATCCCAGCCAGGAATCCAACCATGATGTCGTCAATAGCCCCAGCTGAGAGGCCAGCAGCATTTCCTTGTGTTGGAACATCTGTAATGGAAATAAAATATAAGACTGGCTGAAGATGACATTATTTTACAGTGGGGGTGCCCTGGGAAACAACTCTCAACATAGAGTAGTCTCTACTTGTTCCTTCAAGGGATAAAATTCCTGTGGGACAGTTGCTGTGAGGTGATTAGCTTACTATGTCCTTGCAAATCTTTTCTCTATTTCCAAATTGGTGGTCACACTTGCCTTAATTTCACCCTGACCTTTCTGTACTCAGATATTTTTGAAGTCTCTGGAAATGTGAGAAAGGCTGATGTGTCCTTTGTATGTTATAACTTCCCACCTTTCCGTGGGTGCATCTTTTTCTGTGTACCAGGTGTGGCAGCCATGAATATGTCCCTCTCAGGTCTCTTGTGGTGGGGACTTAATTGACAGAAGGCCTGGGCTAGTGCACTCTGAATTCACCGTCTCCATTCACCACACAAGACCACCCTTCCCACAGGCTCCCAGCAGGGATATGAAAGCAATCCCAAATCTGTGAGAAACGATCTTCCCCTGATGGGTGACTTTAGCTCAAGGACTCCCTGTCAGCCTTGTAGACGCTTTCTTAGAGCTGCACTGCAAACTAAAGCTTCCTTCCTTCTCTTTCTCCTTCACAGGGATCATGCATCATGGTCTGTCTGTGGTTTGTGGAATCCCCCAGGCTCCTCCCACTCCTGCCCCACTATCCTTTACAGGCATTTTCCCCAATAAATGAATTGTATGTCTGATCCCCTCTTGGCTGCATCTCAGAAGGAAAACTAACATAGAAGACATGAAACTTTGCATTCAACTCCTTTTTTCTCTCCTATGTTTAGTCAGTAACCATGTCCCAGTGGTTTTTTGTGTTATACCTCCCCTCTACCTAATGTATTTTTCCTTTTGCATCTGTTTCTTCTTTTCTATTTCTGTTGTCAACTCAAGACTGATGATTAATGCTAATGTTAGCAAGTACTACGAGGTACTGTGACAGCCTTTAGCTATATAATTTACATATATATCATTTGATTCATATAATAGAGCTGTCAGATAGACATTGTTTCCATTTTACAGATGAGAAAACATAGGTTTACAGTGGTGAAAAAACTTACCTAAATTCGGATTTCTAGTAAATGGTAGATCTAGAGTCAAGTAATCCTTGACCCTAGGACTTCCTGAGTTCATAGAAGCTAATGATAATAGAGTAATAATAGCAGCTAATACCTATGGAACATTTCCTCTGAAAATGGCATTTTGCTAAAAGTTTAATTGATTATTACATTAAATCTTCAAAACAATATCATTAAGCAGGTACAGTCATCTGTCTTTATCCATGGGGGATTGATTCAGGAGCCCCTGTGGATTACCATAATCCGTAGATGCTCTAGTCCATTATATAGAATGGTGTAGTTTTTGCATATAACCTACACACATCCTCCCATATACTTTAAATCATCTCTACGTCACTTATAATACTTCTTACAATGTAAATGCTATATAAATAGAAGTCTACACACGTTCAGTATAGATGCAACCATAGTAGGTCTTTCAATCTGCAATTGGTTGAATCATGGATATAGAAGCTGTGGATACGGAGGTCAACTGTACTCATTGCAATTTTCAGTTGAGCACTGAGGCTCAGACAAGTTAAGAATCTTGTGCAAGAAATTTATAAATGTAAATGCTTCCCTTAAAAAGGAAGAAAGATCTCATATCAACAACTTAACTTTATAACCTAAGGAACTAGAAAAGAAGAACAAACTAAGTCCAAAGCTAGCAGAAGGAAGGAAATAATAAAGATTAGAGTGGAGATAAGTAATATAGAAAGTGGAAAAACAATAGAGAAAATCAACAAAACCAAAAGTTGGATTTTCAAAAAAGATTAACAGAATTGACTAGCCTATAACTAGATTGACTAAGAAAAAGAGAGAGAAGATTCAAATTACTAACATCAGAAATGAAAGTGGAGACATTACTACCAATTCTACAGGAAATAAGAATTTTAAGAGTCCCAGGAATTGTTATATGCCATCAAATTGGATAACCTAGATAAATGGACAAATTCCTAGAAACACAAACCCTTCCAAGATGGAATCCTAAAGAAATAGAAAATATGAATGGTCCTATAATTAGTAAGGAGATTGAATCAGTAAAAGCATTTGACAAAATTCAATGTTCTTTCATGATAAAAACACTCAAACTAGGAATAGAGGGAAACTAAGTCAACATAATGCAAGTCATATATAAAAAACCCACACCTAACATCATAGTCAGTGGTGAAAGACAAAGTTTTTGCTCTAAGATCAAGGACAAGTCATGGATGCCTGATTTTACCACTTCTATTCAAAATAGTATTGGAAGTCCTAGCCAACAATTAGGCAATAAAAAGAAATAAAAGTCATCTAAATTGGAAATGAGAAGTAAAATGATCTGTTTGTAGATGATACGTCCTTATATTTAGAAAACACTAAAGTTCCCACAAAAAACTCTTAGAACTAACAAATTCAGCAAAGCTGCAGGATACTGCATCAACACGTAAAAAAATCAGTTGTGTTTCTATAAGTGAGTAATGAACAATTTGAAAAGGAAACTAAGAAAATTTTATTTACAGTAGCATCAAAAAGAATAAATACTTAGGAATTAACTTAACCAGGGAGTTGAAAGATTTACACTCTGAAAAAGTACAAAAACACTGCTGAAAGTAATTAAAGAAGACATAAATGGAAAGGCATTCCATGTTCATGGATTATAAGACTTAATATTGTTAAGATGACAATACTATCCAAAATAATCTACACATTCAATGCAATCTTTATCAAAATCCCAATGACCTTTTTTAGCAGAAATAGGAAAATCCATCCTAAAATTCCTATGGAATTTCAAGAGCCCCAAATAGACAATCTGGAAAAAGAAGAACAAGTTGGCCAACTCACACTTCCTGATTTCAAAAATTGCTACAAAACTACAGTAATCTGGGGCCAGCCCCGTGGCTGAGTGTTTAAGTTTGCGTGCTCTGCTGCGGCGGCCCAGGGTTTTGCCGGTTCAAATCCTGGGCACGGACATGGCACCACTCGTCAGGCCACGTTGAGGCAGCGTCCCACATGCCACAACTAGAAGGATCTGAAACTAAGATATACAACTATGTACCAGGGGGATTTGGGGAGATAAAGCAGAAAAAAAAACCCCACAAAACTACAGGAATCAAAACAGTATGGTACTAGCATAAACACAGACATATTGACCAGTGGAATACAAAACCTGGAAATAAACCTTTACAAATAAGGTCAGATGATTTTTGACAAGGGTGTGAAGATCATTCAATGGGGAGAGGACAGTCTTTTCAACAAATGGTACTGGGAAAACTGTATATCCATGCAAAATAATGAAGTTGAAAGCTTATCTAACACTATGCACAAAAAGTTAACTGACAATGCTTCAAAAGACCTAAATGTGAAAGCTAAAACTATAAAATGCTTAGAAAGAAAACAGAGAGTGAGTGCTTCATGACATCTAATTTGGCAATGATTTCTTAGATAGGAAACCAAAAGCACAGGCAACAAAGAAAAAATAGATAAATTGGACTGTATGAAAATTTAAAAATTTGTGCAGCAAAGAACACTTTCAGCAAAGTGAAAAGACAACCCACAGAATGGGAGAAATCATTGGCAAATCATATATCTGACAAGGGATTAATATCCAAAATATATAAAGAACAACTACAACTCAACAAAACAACAAAAAACAACCCAGTATAAAAGTGGGCAGAGGAACCAAATACGCATTTCTCCAAAGAAGGTTTACAGATGGCCAATAATCAGTGAAAAGATGCTCAGCATCACTAATCATTAGGGAAATACAAATTAAAACCACAATGAGATACCATTTTTCTCCACCCATTTTTTTTTTTCAATGAGGAGGATTCACCCTGAGCTGATATCCATTACTAATCTTCCTCTTTTTTTGCTTGAGGAAGACTAGCCCTGAGCTAACATCTGTGCCAATCTTCCTCTATTTTGTATGTGGGATGCCTCCAAAGCATGGCTGTTGAGTGGAGTACGTCCACGGCCAGGATCTGAACCCACAAACCCAGGTCGCTGAAGCAGAGCACCTGGAACTCTAACCATTCGGCCATAGGGCCAGCCCCCTCCCATTGCCTTGTGTGTGACCCTTTGCTAGAGCTCTCTGTGACTTTATGAATGGTCAGGCCTGCTCTTTAGTATGGTAACTTTAAACAGAGAAGAGAAGGCATTTCTTTTGTTAAATACTTTATTAGATAATGAGCATGGCCCAGCCAGTCTTCATGCCCTTAGGACCTGGAAAAGTTCCAATCTAAAGGATTTCACAATCTGAATAGCACTTTTACTTCCTGGCCTGTGTACTGAATCACAGAGAAGGAAATCTCTAGAGAGAATTGGTCATACTTTTAACAAAAGTCTGGCACTCTTAGCCCTCTTTGTAAACTATAAGCTTTTGGGCACTGCTCCTTCTGTCCTGTGAAGGGTCTTCATGGAAGAATCTGCCTGTCTTTCCAGTGTGAACCATAATTCACTGTTTCCCTTTGTTATACATATGTGTTGGTGCCACACAGTGTCATATAATTGGTGACTTCAGAGCCAGGACACAACTCAGAGGAGTCTGCACCAAGGCTTACTCTTTTCCCATTTTCCTGCAGCCTGGACTGAAAAAGGATCTGATGTCGATTTGGCCGAATTGAGGACAGGCCACCCCTGTACCTTCTCTACACGCCCCTGTCCCACCACAGGTAGCATCAGAGCAGACTCAATCGTAAGGCGAGCCTGGAGCAGAATGATCTTCTTCCTTCTCCCGCTGTGAAGCCCCCTGCACCGTATGGGACTTTCTGGGAGTGAGAGAACCCCCTCCCCGCATTCCAGGCTGGACCCGCATCTTCCCTGGGAAATCAGAGAGCAAGGGAAAGAAGGGTCTGTGGATGTAGTTGTGAGGGTTCAGGGATACTTATGGGATTGCTTGTGTCCATGGAAACAGGATAGGAAATAACTTCCTGCAGGCTCTTTTCTGAAAACCAGACATTTCCACCTCAGAGCCTGTTGTCGATGGTCCAGGGAGCCACTTACCAGAGACTGTGATGGTCTTGACTGTGGTCCTATTGAGGCCAGTGACAGAGTTATGGACGAGGCAGGTGTAGGATCCACTGTCATTCGCACTGATGTTGGGGATAAAGAGCTCCTGGGTGGATTGCTGGGGCCTCCCGTTGATAAGCCAAGAATACCGTGCAGGTGGGTTAGAGGCCGCGTGGCAGGAGAGGCTGAGGTTTGCCCCTTGCTGGTAATAGGAGTCTGAGGGGGAAATGGTGGGGGCATCCGGGCCATCTGGAGCAAACAGAATAAAGCCACATGTGATATAATCAGAGAGAAGGGGAATCTCCTAGTCTGTACAAAGGCCATTGTATCCTACTGAGCTGGGTCACAACCTGTTTTAAAAACTCCCAACCTTGACCCTTCTGTGTTCACTCATACTGAGTCTGAGACATTAACCTGTTTCTCCCATCACAGATTGCTGGTCCTGAGCACCTCAAGACAGGAGCAGCCCATCCCTTCCTAGTCTTGGCTCAAGGCTGGGCCTGCCCAGATTTGTCTGAGACAGCAAGTCATGGCCATGCTGGTGTCCAGGGGTGAGGGTTTGTCTACATGGACCTGAGAGGGACAGATGTAGCTTGGCCTCTGGCAGTGTTTTTGGGTGGACAGCCTGGGTCAGCAAGGGACAGAAGTTACTCACAGAGAACACTGAGGTAGAATGGGTCACTGCGACGAGCACTCACTGGGTTCCAGGTTTCACACTCATAGGGTCCTGTGTCATTCCTTGTGACATGGAGTAAAGTGAGAGTCCTGTTGTCTGGGGACAGCTTCAGCCAGGCGCTGTCCGGGAGGCTCTGATTGTTGATCGACCACAGGTAGGTGGTGTTCTGAGTCTCAGGTTCACATGTTAACACTATAGGGTCCCTGTGCTCCACGGGGTTGGAGCTGTTGCATGTGATGTTGGGTTTGGTTAACTCCGCTGCACAGATAACAGAGAGAATATTACCCTGTGTGGCACCTTTGATTCCTCCAAAGTCATCTTCAATCAGAGTTGGCATTTCTCACCTCTCAGTCAACCCAAGTCCTTAAAGGAATAAGGCAGGTCTGTGCATTCCAAGGCAAATGCATAAGGATCTGTGTGCTCAGAGAAAGTAAGCCTGCCTGCTCTGTCTGGGAGAAGTCAAATAAGCATCAGGGTTAGTCATGAAAAGAAACAGGACTGGGAGTCAGAGACCACCCAGGGCTTCTCATGGCTCTTCACTAACCAGCTAACTTCTGACCAAACTTGGGGTCTTCCCCTGGAAAGTGTGGGTGCTGAGGCCCTTTCTATTACACAGACCTACATCACTTAGCATAGATGTGTTTTTCCTGAGGCCTTGTTTTCCAGGATTATCCTAGAGATGGGTAATGATGGGCCTTCCTATAGTTCTTAAGCCAAAAGGGGCCTGAGCAGCGAAGCCTATAACTGGGTATTCAAGCAGAATTACTAAATGGGGAGATCAGAGAAAGCCCAGAAGTCAGTTCAGCGCTCACGCTGCAGGGCCATGAAGTAGGGCAGGTCTGCCCAGGTGTTCCACGGTGACTGGCATGAGGCAGTGATGTCATAAAGAGTAGAGCAGAGTTAAGACTAGAAATGATCCAGAAAAGTGTGAGTGGGACAGGCAGGGGCTGGCTGGCTTTGGCAGCAGAGCCATCTGCTCTGCCCTTTATCTTTAAAGCCTCTTCTCCCACTTGAGAGGGTAGTGAGTACCGTGTTGATCTTTCCTGAAATACAAGTGGATGTTTTCAAGTGCAGAAAGGGTATCCAGTGGAAAGGGAGGGAGAATCTAGCCCTCATGGACCATTTGTAAACACAATTATGAGACAGAAATCTGAGAAGTAAAATTGTTTCCATATTGAAAATGAATATTAATGCCCCAAAGATCTAAGACCAGTTTCTGGAGGGATCTCTCTCTAGCAAGCACTAAAGGTCATAGACCAAGTTCTGCAGTCCAACCAGGATCACATAATACTCAAAGGAAGATGCTAAAGTTGCTTTGAAATCAGTGGCTTCCTGGGTAGAGTCCTGTTAAGAGGACAGAATTGATCAGGGGGATGGTCTGAGGTGTTTCTGTTATATAAAGGGAGGAATGCTACCAAATTAGTCAAAATGATATGTGTTATGTTAGTAAATTTAGGAAATAGGTCCTTGTCACCAATTTATAAGGACAGTCATGCAAAATGGAAAGAAGGTCTAATGCTTGTATGTGGTTGTCTTTTGACCTCAGGCAACGTAAGTTTGATCAAATTCATCCAAATTGGTCAGCCTCTAAGTGAAAGGATAGTACCTGGTGGATCTCACCATCTGAGAGCATCCTGCCGTGTGGTAAAAGTGTCATCATGAGGACCTATGTGTGTGAAACAGGAAATAAACCAGTCAGATGGTGCAGGGTCTGGCCAGCCCCACCTTGGAAAGTTCTCAGGAACCACTGGAAGAATGGGAGCCTCACCAGGATGAGGATGTGAGTAAGGAGTCAAAGGGGTGAAATGAACCTGTGAGCTTTTGGGGACTGCAGACCTGTCCTTCTGCCTTTGAATCCCTGGTTGAATCATGTAGAGAGTAGATTGAGAAGTCACATGTCCCCGTCACGTTACATTCCACTTGTTGACGTCATGGAGGGAAAGGGCCCTGGATGGTGACACAGTGGAAGCTCATTCTTCTGGTGACCTGGGGAAATTAGCTCATGATGGAACCTCAAGGGGCTGCTGCTCCCACTGATTTCTGTGTCCTTTACCATTGCCCTGGAGGGAGAGCCTGACCACAAGTGTCAGTGGGAGAATCCAGGGAGGCTTAAGAGCGGGGGAAGCTGTGCAGAACAGGGACAGCTGGAATGAATGGGGAGGAAGATGAAGGATGTGGGAGGAGCAAAGAGAGCCAGAAACATCCAAGGTTGTGAGCAGTGGGGGTTACAAGTGACTTCCAAGTCCCAAGTCACCAAGAGCCTTTTGTTGCCCTAGGGACAGGGCCAGAACAGCCTTAAAAACCCTGCCATGGCTGAGCAGCCCCACAGTCATGAGACTCTTCTCTCAGAGTGGCCTTAGGGGCTGGTGGTCAGAGGAATGTAACAAGGGTCTCAGCCTCCGGAGTGACAGAGAACAAGTGTGGCCATAACCTCCTAGGGTCCTGCATCCAAGTTCCAGTCTGTGAAGAGATTAGGGATCATTCATTTACATTTCATTCCTTGCCTCCCTCATGAAAGAGCAATTGAGTTGTTGGGACCTATGATGGTTGCAGGTGTAGAGTGGGGAGTAAGAAAGCAAAGTCCTTTCCTTTATACTCCAGTGGGGGTGATACCAGCACATCAGGAAACAAATAAATGATATCAAGTCCATTTCAGGGAGCTGTGGATCAGCCACCAGAATGGGAGGCCTGGACATCTCTGCACTGACTCTGATTGTTGATGAAGATAATTTGGTTCTTGAGTAAAATCAGACTAATTCTCCATTTATCGTCACTATACAAACCAGAAAATCTACCTAGAGCTGTGGATGCTTGAGAAGAAAGGATCTGATCCAATGGCTGGTCTTGGGGTCCATAAGTGCTTGATAAGGCCCCAGGGTGGTGCAGAGGTCGGGGCTGTGATTGCACAAAGATCTTCCCATGACTCTGATCTACTGTTCACGGTCTGTGTGACCATGATTCGGGGACTGTGTCTCTCTGTGCCTCAGTTTCCCCTAAATAAAATGCAGTAAATGGCCTCTCAGTTACCAAGTTGTCTGAATTAACCTTAAAATATCCTCAAATACCTGACCTAAAGCTTAGTATGTAAGAGCTACCCAAATAAACGGCGTTCAAGAGACAGAGAGCTGCTTGGGCCTGATCCTAGGTACATGAGGAGCTGCCAGGAGCATCTTCTGTCCTCTGTTCCTCCCTGGGGATGGCGACCATCTTGTAGAGTCCTGTATGTCCTAGCACAGTTGGCTAACGGCCTGGGGACCTTCTCCATCTGTCCTATCCATGCCAAGTCTCAGGCGAAGGATCAGACTCCGCCCCTGCCCAGATGTGGCTCTTAAGGCCAAGCCCTGGCTGGTGACCAGCTCAGGAACTTCGGGACTTGGGCAGCCAGGAAATCATTGCTCCCAGTCAGCCCTGCCCAGGAGGCTAAAATCTAACCCTAGCACAGGCACCCCAGGGTCACTGGAGTCACGATACCTGGGACAGGGGTCTGGGCAGAGGTTTCCCAGGGCTGAGCTTCTCTCTGAGGATCCAAGGGGGCCCCTCAGGCCAGGCTCTGATCAAGCTGTGCAGGACCTTCCTTAGGGTCATGTTCACGGGGAGGGGCCCAGGGAGCTGGACTGAGACTGACCTCCCTCTGCTGAGTTACTCCCGTCAGACTGTTCTTCTCTCTGCAACAATGTCTGCCGGGGCTGGATTCTGAGAAGGGTATTCTGATCTTATGATGTTTGTCTCTACTGTGTGTGCCCTGCACTAAATGCTCAAACCTCAGCATGAGACATAATACAGAAGGGGATGTAGGCACAGTCCCGGCCTGTTAATCCCATGTGTGTAAAGTAGAATTCACCCCACCCAACTCCCAGAAATCTGAGAGAGATCACTCACAGTATACGTGGAGCTGTCCAGTTCCTAGTTCACTTTGAAAATTTATCTTTATGACTGGTAGGGTGTAGTATCCTGTGTCCTCCTGGGTGACATTCTGGAACAGCAGTGATCCATTGGGGAATATTATCTCTTGACCATTGTTTACAGGCCCTGGTGTCATTTCTTGTGTGTCTATCACATATGATGCAATTTGTTGATTGGAATCTATTTCCCCTTTGAACCAGCCATAGCCTAGGAGATTCCCAGGCAGATTGTGTACAACTAGAAGAACTTCCTTCCCTTCAGCAGCATCGGTCGGCACCGATTCAATAGTGAGTTGGGCAGTGGTGGGCGGGTTCCAGAAGCTTATGAGTGAGGCTAGGAGGGAAGAGAGAGTGAGATCAATCAATATTTGGATGTACACATTGGGATAGAAAGATGAGGCTGTAGGTCCTGAGAAGTTCTCTTCATCTCCTAGACTTGGGGCGTGTGTGTGTATGTGTGTGTCTCCTGTTGGTCAAGGTCAGCAGCATGATCACCATTACTTCAACCCCTTTGAACTTGTTATTTCCTCTGTTCCCCGTGCTCTTCCCCAGGTGTCTACCTGATTTACTCCCTCACTGCCTTCAGAGCCCTGCTTGCTCTCAGGAGTATCCTTGGGAGACGCCTTCCCTACCACCTGCTCTAAAGACCCCTGTCTTCACTTTCTGACCATTCCATGCTCTGTTCCCTTCATGACAATGTCAGTCCCTAACATCACATTCTAGATCTCTTTGCTTATCTCTCCTCATACCCACATAATGTGAGCTCCTGAGGATAGGGACTTGTCTGATCTTGTTGTGATCCAGTGCTTGGAACAGGCTGCAAACACCTGTGGATGAATGAATATTTCCAGGGCCCTCCACATCCTGGTGTTTATTTGTCAATTTCTGAGGCTTATTAGTAAGGACAATGTTTAGTGCCTATGGTTATTTTTTTTCTGAATTGTCACTCTGATACAGTCATCTTATTTTCATAATGTAACTTGAAAACAATATAGCAATTGAGTTTTTCCTGCTCCTCACGAATTCCAGCTCACTAAGCTTTTCCTCTTGCTGAGTCCACAGCCCCCATCCTACTCTGCTCCTGTATGTCCCCTCCCCTCAGGTCCAAGCAGAAGTCCTCTGTCCCCTCTCAGGGTCCTGTTCTCCCCAGGAGACTCCAGTCAGTCTCTGTTCTCCCATCTCCCACCCACCCTCAGGGTATCATCCCCTCTCACCTGCCAGCAGAAGCCCCTGCCAGGGGATGTGCCCTCTGTGAGGAGGGGCTGAGGGGGGCTCCATGGTGTCTGCTGCCTGTTCTGTCCCTCCCTCTGTGAGAAGAGCTTGGGATCCCAAAATGCTCACAAGCCCTGCTGTCCAGGTGCTTCAGCTCTGCTGTCCTTCCTTCCTCTGCGCTGAGCCTCCTCCAGGGGCAGGAGTCTTTAGCTGGGTCACATGCGCTGGAGGCGGTCTCTCTGCTCAGGACCCTCCCTCTCTCTCATCTCATTCCAGCCTCCCGCTTCTCCTCCTTCCCCTTTCCTTTCTGTCTACATTTTGGTTCCCTGGGAATTGTGGAGGCCTCTCTGCCTTTAGCTGTGATTCCTCCTACACGCACACACACACACACACACCCTTGTTTGAACAAGCACAAGCCTGGGCATTAGTGTCCTTGGCAATCCCAACTCTGAGTCAGGATGCACAGTCAGGCTCTCCTGAAGCCTTTTCTGTGGTTCCTCCTACACACACACACACACACACACACACACACACACACCCTTGTTTGAACAAGCACAAGCCTGGGCATTGGTGTCCTTGGCGATCCCAACTCTGAGTCAGGATGCACAGTCAGGCTCTCCTGAAGCCTTTTCTCTTTCACGTTTGACTTTTTCCTTCACAGCAGGACTACTGCAGCTACATCAGGAACTCTTGTCACAAGGATGTCACCCCTGCTGGGTTCCAGAATCACCTGCGGAACTTTAAAATGATTGTCAACACCCAGCTAACACCTTAAAAATGCTACTTCAGCTGCTGCCCGGGTTTGTGGATACCCAGCCAGGCTGAGACTCCATTTTGTAGGGGAGGGGTAGCTTCTCTCTTTCTCTTGTTCAGACTCAGAAGATTCTGTTAAGATGCAGATTCTGACCCGGCAGGTGTGGGGTGGACCCGAAAGTCTGTATCTTACAAGCTCTCAAGTGATACTGATCACACTGGCCTGTGGAGCACACTTTCAACAACAAGGCTGATGGGAATCCCTGTCCCCTGAGACGATGACCCACCCTTCCCGCAACATTGGCCTCTGCTGTGTCCTGGCGTTGGGTCTGTCAGCACCACACAGAGACCCAGGGATCTCCAAACCCAGGGCATTATTTCTATTTGTGACACAGAAACGCAGCCTGGCACTAGGGTTTTCGCATGTCCTCAAATATACTGGGAAGGTGGGATTTACTCCCAGGAGAAAGGTCAGAGAGATGACTCTGTGGGTGAGAAAGGGGCAAGCTGAGTGCTGACTCGTGAGGGGACCCGCCCTCCATCTCTGAGTTTCAGCAGCCCGGCCTCTGCTTTCTGGGACAGAGACCCAGTACTGTTGTCTTAGGAGCTGCAGTTCCCAAGTGTGAAGGGGAAGGTTTCCTGCATGTCCTAGGTGAGAGGATAGTGGGGGTGGGAGGTCAGTGGCTGTGGGCAACCTGGTCCTTGGGGGAACTTTTCAGGGAGATACTCCCTCTCCATGGGTGTTGGCTGAGCTGTGGCTGAGAGCCTGTCCATGTGCTCCCTGACCATCCTGGGGCCTCTGTCCTCTGCCTGGCTGACTTCCTGGGAAAGCACCCCCCAAGTCCAGATGACCACCATGGGTGTGGACTGGCGGGTCCTAGTCCGACCGCAACTTGGCAGGTGGTCCAGGTGTGACCCATACTCTTAGCCGGTGCGCTGGATGCAGTGCAGGCTCAGGTCGGGTGTGCACATGCAGGGGCCCTGGAGGAGCAGGTGGTGGGGTGCATTCTTGCAGGCAGGGATTTGGCTTCCAGAGGCTCCCCAAGTTCCACTGGGGTCCTACTGAAGTGCACAGGGTTCTGGTGATGTTTGGCATTGTGGCTGTAGGAGGGTGCCCTGGGCCCTCCAGGCTGATGTCACGTGGACATGCGACAAAGCAGATGTCTGGAGCTAGCAGCCAGGAGAGCAACCTCCACTATCTTGAGAACCAGGGAAGGCCTCTGCTCTTCCTGGGGCTGGTTGCGGGTGGTTGGGTCTGGGAGAAGGTTCAGGAGCTGCCTCTAGTGTTGTATTTGAGATTCAAAGGAAGAAAGGATAATACTTTCTACCAGGTCACGAAAATGATAGATAGGCAGCTGCTTCAGGATGGTAGGGAACACATACTGACCAAAAGGCCTTCCCTTTCTAGGTAGTAGGAATGAGGATAATGTCCTGGAATGGTCTTTTAAGGACAAAGAAGTCAACCCAACAATAGGGGAAGCACAAATAAGCCCTGTTTGTAGTTGGAAAGGGCGTATATAACTACAGCTGAAGCAGGATTGAGAAGCCCTTAAAAATCTTCATGGCAATACAGTTGATAATTTAGACAAAATTGACAACCTTCTTGGAAAGTTAGAAATAACAAAAACTAACTCAAGAAGAAATAGGAAACCTGACCTGTACCATAACCGTTAAAGGAAATTTAGTTTATAGTTAAAATATTTCCATATAAACATACATTCTCATATACACCCACTCATGCACGCACATATACGTATCTGCACACACTTGTGCACACTCACAAAAAACACAGATATGAATATTTCTTGGAGGAAAAAATATGAATTTAGGCCCTAACTCACACCATACAGTAATCTTTTAAAAATTGATAAAATATATTAAAATTAGAATTCCTGTTCTTCAAAAGGCCCAATTCTCTCTCCCCTACATATATAAGTTCTATAATGGTGTTTATGTATCTATATGACAAGAAGCCATATCCAAAGTGCATAACAACATCCTAGAGAAGCAATAAGAAAAAGACAGGTGATCCAATTTCTTTTTGAGGAAGATTAGCCATGAGCTAACATCTGCTGCCAGTCCTCTTTTTGCTGAAGAAGACTGGCCCTGAGCTAACATCCATGCCCATCTTCCTCTACTTTATATGTGGGACATCTGCCACAGCATGGCTTCACAAGTGGTGTGTAGGTCTGCACCAGGGATCTGAACTGGTGAACCCCAGGCTGCCGAAGTGGAGATGCGAACTCAACTACTGCGCCACAGGGCTGGCCCCTCCAACTTTTTTAAATGGCTAAAAACATTAAGACGCTAAACAGTAAAACATGTGTAAGTGGCCAATAAGCACATGTAAAGCTGAATTTGCTTCATTGTTTATCGGGGAAATGCAAATAAAAACCATTATAAAATATAATTTCAACCACACAAGAACGGCTAAAATTAAAAGGACTGACAATACTAAGAGTTGGAACATCTGACCGTGTAAACATTGCTGGTGGGAATATAACTTTGTTAAACTGTTTGGCAAGGCAAACTAACATTTATATTATTTTAGAAGGTGTTCCAGCAAATACAATGGTATCTACTCCAAGGAAGTGTGTTAGACACACCAAAATACACATACAAGAATATTGACTCACATGTGAGGGGGTGGACTATAATTAGTTTTTGGGTGGTGAACATGATATAATCTATACAGAATTTGGAATATATTATGATGTACATCCAAAAGCTATATAATGTTATAATCCAATGTTACTGCAATTAAAAAAAATAGAAAAAATTTTTTAAAAAAGAATATTGATATCAGTATTATTCAGAATAGCCAAAATCACAATCCAAATGTTGAACAGCACAGTGGATAAATATCCTGGAGTAGTCAAACAAAGGAATATTACACGACATGGAAAAGGAATGGGTTACTGCTGCACACAACCATGAGGGTAAATCTACACGCACAGACGAATGAAAGTGGTCAAATGCAGAAGAGCAAAAAAAGAATGATTCTACTTGTGTAAAGCTCTGGAAGGCAAATCTATCTCCTGGTGCTAGAGGTCAGAATGGAGGTGTTGTCGAAGGTCCTAAGAGCTTGGAGGAGCATGAGAGCATTTCCTAGTGTGGGCAAAGTTCTCTACCTTGGTCTGGGTGTTCATTTCATGGGCTCACACGTATGCAGAAATTCATTGCAACGTTCATGGTACTTTACAAAGGAGTGTCAAATGCCTCGAGGTTAAACAAAAAAGCAATATCCACAAAGCAACTAAAGATCAGCTCATTCCACCCTTAACACAATTCTTACAGAGAATAGGAAAAACAAAGGACAGTCATTAACTCATTTTATGTGGCAGTGTAACCCTCATTTCAGAACCAGACCAGCAAAGAAAGAGAAAGAAAAAGTGCAGGCCCTTCTCATGAACAGAGATGAAAAATCCCTAAACAGAATGCTACCAAAATGAACCAGGAATTACCATCTTGAGTTTGTTCCCTCGGAGTGCAAGCTGGGTTTAATGGTCAAAAATCAACCATTGCCTTTTGCCACCTTAACAGATTAACTAGAAAATAATTTATAATGACGAGAAGAGAGGCAAAATGGTCTTTGATGAAATTCCACATCCACTCAGATTTGGACAATACAGAAACCAATGGCAAACTCTGATCAGAGGGGAGCTCTCAGCCTGATGACAGTGTCTGCAAACCTGGAGCAGGCACCATGCTTCCTGGAGAATCACTGACAGCATCACTCTTGTCAAGGTGAGGCAAGGCTGGCTGTGTTCACTGCCTGGACTCCAAGCCCCTGGACCTCAGCCCTCCTACAGAGGCTCTCCCTTGGCCACACCCACGGGGACAGCTCAAGGGCAGGGGCAGAGCCACAGTCAGGGCTGGTGAGCAGAAGTCCTGCTAGGGTCAGAGCATCCTGAATAGACCTGTGCCTGAGGGAGAGCAGCTCCCTTGAATGGGAGAACCAGGCTTATGGCTCCAGCCTCAGACTGCAGATGGGAGGAGCCAGTGCCCTGGGCCTTTCCTAGAGGTGACTCTGAATGACCTCAGGTCTGTGACACACAGAGGTTTCCTCACTGCACCAGAGATAAAGGGGCCACCTGGAGACACTCTTCTTGTGGCAGATAAAAAGAAAACAAGGAAAACATGCCAGGCCTATTGAGTGTCCCAGAACTGACCCAGATCTACACCTGCAGTCCATCAGCCTGAGCGAGTGGTACAGCTAAGCAAGAGATAACGGGGGAATGGGGATAGGCATGCTCTTTTTCTAGTGGTAGAAATTTCAAGGTCACAAACAGAGGATGTGGATGTATAATTCTACTAGAGAGAGGGCAGGGACAGTTAAAAGGAGTGATCCAATCCTATAGGGCCATGGGCTCAGTCATTTCTCCCAGTGCCCACACATAGGGTGGGGGCTTTTGGGCCCTGAATCCCAGCCTTCAGTGCCCACTGTGCCTGGAACCACCCCTCTCCCCAGTGACTTGGGCCCTGAGGTTGGTTCCAGGCCACCTGTCCATGCTGCCACATCCTCCAATGGGAGGTTCCTCCCTGGGGTCCTTGATGTCTGTCTCAGGAGCTTCACCTGCTGCAAATCTAGAGTATTTGGGGGCTAGGGGTTGTGGCCTTAAAAACACTTGCA